TGGCTTCTTCCCCAATAGATGCTTAAAAGTACTGTTTTCATGAGAAAATGCATTCCAGCTCAGGATGCCAGAAACAGGCTTTGATTTTCCCCAGCACTCAGAGCAAGCTTTCTGACTGAAGAAATAATCGGAAAAACAAAGAAGGGTGGCAGAGGAACGATGCTGGCTACTCCAGAAATAGCCCTGGCCTGGCATATACCAGCTTGCTGTGAGTGCGCCATGGACAGAAACTTCTGGATACAGAGATGCTATTCTGAAGCTTCTCTCTGCTCTTATATAACCTGCTCTACAGATTTTCAGTTCAAGTATTTAAGTGCTCTGAATTAGGAAATAAAAGGCAGTTGCTTGAAGAGGAGCTTGAAGAGGGGATGGATTTCTGGGTGAGGGGTCAGAAATTGATGAGTCCTTAGAGATGTCCTGTGTGCATCTATGATGACCTCTGTCTAGTTCTCAGTTCCTTGACTGGCACAATCACTGGTGCTGATGCCATTTCTGACTTTTAGGTTGCTAACATCATCTTAAAATCTGGAATGGGGGCGGGAAGCTGCGCTTAAGCATCTTAAACACTAGACCTGTGCCCTCTCTGTCTCTGTGCACTCTGGGGCCATCACTGCCTGATGTGAGACCAAGGAGGGTTTGACATTTCAGTATGCTAGCAAATATGTGAGCTGTAGAGTCAGGCTCCTCATATTCACATCATTTTGCCTCCCTATGTGCAGTCCAGGGACCCACTGCAAAAATCTCTGTGGGCTTTCAGTCACCTGACCCAGAAAAGGACTGGTGACATCACCCACCTCCCGGGGTCGCTGTGGGGCTCACATGCAAGGTGGTGAAACACAGAATGCTAGGCCTGCCGCACAGTCTCAGCTGCAAGTTCCTCATCATTTGTCACTCATATTCGTTTCTTCTCACCCATTAGCTAAATGTTTGGAATTTTTGCCTCTCAATTAGGTTCCCAGGGAATTCAGTGACCGGGAAAGCTGGTTAATGTACTGCGTTGGATTGTGACTTGAGACCATGACCTCATTTGGAATCAGGGTCTCTGCAGCTATGACAAGGGCAGCATAGCTGTTGCCCTGGAGACGTGTTCTTATTGGATTGGGATCCCATGTCCCTGGAAGAGATGGAGAAGAAGACACAGGGCAGAGGGCTATCAAGGAGAAGATGGGAGGCCCCAGGTCCTCCAAAAGCCACCAGAAACCCTTCTCAGGAGGCTCCAGAGGGAGCACGGCTCTGATGACTGTGCTCCTTGGCCTTGTGGCCTCAAGGACTATGAGAAAATGTTTCGATTTTTCAAACCCATCGAATTTCTGGTAACCTAGTGTGGCAGCCCCGGCACCCTCAGTCGATTGGGGTCAGGCAGTTCTGGAACACCTAGCTTTAGTGATGGGAGCATGAAGCAAAGATTGTCACAAGTTCTCCCCTTTTAAGAGACTGTGCATTTCAGGAAAAGCTCTCTTTGGGGAACGCAATCACCAGCTCCAGAGATCGGAATGATCAGGCCAGTTTCTAGTGGGACTCGTGAGGGGGGGGGGGGAGTTGTTTTCTTTTCTTTTTCCTTCTTTCTACAGAGAATAAAGTGGAAGCATGAAATCATGAGACACTGAGCAAAGCCGTCCTTCATTGGGCCATGAGTAAATAAATGCACAATGTGCTTCTCAACGCTGGTTGTGGTAACCCACACAGGTCTCTATTTTGCCTTTCTGGACCCATCCGTAGTGGACAAAGGGGATCATTAACTGAAGACTCTGAGCTAAAGAAAGAAACATGGTTACCAAGAGACCAACATAGTTGTACATTTCTCTTAACCCTACTGATTCATGAAATTATAACTATAAAACAGATCCCCTCTAAAGTGAAATATATATTTTATATATGTAAAATATTCATATTGTGTGTGTGTGTGTGTATGTGTGTGTGTGTGAGAGAGAGAGAGAGAGAGAGAGAGAGAGAGAGAGAGAAGGGGGGATCCTTCTAAGTCTTGGAAATTTAACGGCATCTTCAAGAAAGAGACATGTAAGAATGGAATTCACAGATGCTCAGAGAAATGGTTTCATTCTCTTCCTCTCTTCTAACTCCGGGAAAAATAAATAGCCACGGACAGCACCAGCAGTCAGGGGTGACTATTTTTTGGAGCAAAGGCATTAGACAAGATGACACATGCTGACAGGTTCAGCAAATAGTGGATGCTGTGCCAATCAGCAGATAATTTCTGTGTGTTTGCAGCGTGGGAAGAACTGTGAGTCACGGTATTTCAAAGACAGGTCACGATTGCTATTTGTCATCTTGTAACGTGAAGGTCGAGAGAGAGGAGAAGACAGGTGGGGGCTGCATGGGAGCAGATCAAGCACATGAAGGCAGGTCCTGCTGCATGGTTTTGACTGTGCCGGGATCTGTGTAATCACTGACATCTGAGGCTCGCACCGGTATCCAGAAGGTCATTACCTCCTAAGTCCTTTATGACTTCTGAAAGTTACTTCTTCTGTGACTCAGCCAAGCTTTGCTTTTCTTCCCCCACTGGGTCCTTTACTCAGTTTATTTCCAGGAATAAAGTAATTGCAAGGAAGAGGCCAGTAGGGAAATCCAAGGAAGGAAGCCATGCGTTTTCTAGATCCCAGGGTATCATGAAATGGATAATTGTTCAATTGAAGAAAGTTCCAGTACACCAAAAATATATTCAAATGGGGGTGGGGGGGACTGAAGCCAAATAGAGTCAAGAATTTTTGTCATCAATGCTATTTGCAGGGAAGGGAGAGGAAGGGAAGGGAAGGGGGAACCTACCCTCATGAAAAAAAGTCAACAATTCAACCGGATTTTTAAAATATGCAAATGGGAACTGGGTGAGGTGGCTAGAGATGCTTGCTATCAAGGTTGACAATCTGAGTTCAGTCCCCAGGATCTTCACACATACACACTCTCCCATACCCTCCCAATAAATAAATAAATAAATAAATAAATGCATGCAATTTAAGAATTTTTAAAATGTAAATGCTTAATTTCCTCCTCCATCTAAGAGCTCTTCTGAGGAAATGGTACATTTTAGCACTCAGAATGAGTGTGCACGTTCACACAGCCTTCACACAGTCAATCCATAAACCTTCAAAGAGAACTCTGCGATTCTAACAGGAAAATTCTTAAATAACATGGTGAATACAAACCCATAGAGTTCTCCCAGGGTTTAGGAAAAAAACAGCTACCCAGTTTAAGCAAAGAGGCTGTATTTTGTTCTTTTCTCTTCTCCCTGCCTAAGCACGCCAAGCCAGCCCATTAGAGCTGTGACAATAGTGGATGTTGAGATCTGCAGAACTAGATCTGACAATACCTGATCCAACATCTGAACAGGAAGAAGAAAGGAGAGGGGCAGGAAGTCTCAGAGAGAGAGAGAAACAGCCTCAGCCTACACCGGGGTAGAGACCAACTTCTTCCAGTTGCCCTTGTTCCCGTAGCCATTCTGCATCAAGGTAGGGAGAGGGCATTTAGTCATTCCACTCCAGATCTGAAGGCTTCTCCCAAGACACAAGAGGGGACTGAGGTGCTAGGAGAGGGGTGATCGGAGGCTGTGGACACAGAAGTTAGCTAGAAGCCGTCACCAGAGATGAAGGGTCTCTTGAATCAAATGCATGGACCCTTGTGTACATACTGACACACACACACACACACACACACACACACACCTTCTTAGCTGACTTGAATTTATCAGCTTGGGTGATTTTTGAACTTTTGGTATGTACATGAGTGCATACTTTAAAGAAAAAGAAAAGACTAAATATACCCAAGTAGATGATCTCTTCACTAAACACGCTGCTATTTGGGAAACTAGGCTGCTACAGTGAGCAAGCCGTTGTAACATACCGAGCAGCAAAGAGAAATCCTTCCAGACCCGCTTTCTCATTTCCTGACATGTTACTGCTCCCTGTACTGCCATTGGCTCCTGCATCCTTACATCCCCTTGGATGCTCACCAGACTATTAATTAAAAAGCCAGAAGCCTCATCGGCTCCACCGGTCATCATCGCTTGTTTTTGTGTTTTGGGAATGGCAAGAAGACCAGCCTGACCTGAGTGAGAATCTGTTTTGGGAATGTTAGTTGTTGGTTTGTTCACATCTGGATTAGGTATAAAGCGATAATATTATGATGATGAACGCTGGAGAGCTCCATCTGCATATAAATAGACCTAATCAGTAATGCAAATTGCAATCTCCAGAAATTTCTAAAGGCTGCAGATAGCTGCGCTTTTTGTGTGGGTAAGGAAAGGTCAACACGTGTATTGTTACATCAGTTCAATGGCCCAGAGTCTTCCTTTGAAAGAGCCATTTGGAAAATACAGATTACCTATCAATCTGCACCCAGGCTGGGCTGGGCTTTCCATTGTTTGACCTTCCTAACACAGATCAGTTCAGTTCCTGTGGAAGAACCATACTCCTTGTACAGACCCAAATGAACATAGAGAGGAGAAAATATACTTGCATCTAAATCACCTCCAAAGACTCCTCTGAGAGGACTGTCCCACTGAGTTAGAAGTTAGGGGTGAAGTTAGGTGTATGGATAATATGATGCTTTTCAAACAGAAGTCACTGCTGAGCTGAGTGGATACAATAATATGTGTTTTGAGGGGCCCCAAATTTCCCAAATATCAGAGGAAGTATACTTGAAAAGAAAATACCAGTGTCTATACCAACTATGGAGTCTTAAATCGCATCTGTGTTCCGCTTGTGCAAAGCACAAAAATGACCGTGGGGTGGGGGTGGGGGTTGAATTTAGTGCTGGAAAACTGACAATTGCTCCACGCTCCCGTCATTTCTCAGGGGTGTGATCTTGCAGAAACATCCTCTGCTTGTGCCCCTCTAACCCTGTTGTTCTTTCTCTTCTTTTTGAAAAGGAAACATATTTCACAATCAGGCTCTCTCAAATTTGGAGAGAAATTGCATACCACCCAGCTTCCCCTCCAAGACGGGTTCCGTGAAGCACTGGTGAGTCAAGAGCGCCATCTGGTGTCCTACCTTGGGATCTTAAAGAGCATCTTCACAGGGTGCATTTCAAAGAGGGGAGGGTCTCCATCTCCCAGCTCAATGGCTGTGATGCCCAAAGACCAGACGTCACAACGAGCGTCATAGGACGAGTCATACTGCTGCTCACAAGCAATGACCTATCAGACAAAAACGAGACACAATGCATCATCCCGCTGTCACCCCAGATGCTGTAAAAAAAAAAAAAAAAAACCTTTGGATTCTGCCCCCCTTGTCTGTTCCATTGACTGTGTTAATACTGAATGGTAGCAATAAAATGTTTGTATTCTAGACCTTGTTTGTGCGTAACTGATTCATCATCTGATATAGTTACTAACTTTTTTCTTTTTCCTTGCTTTTTGAACCAGGGTCTCGCTATGTTGCTGAGGCTGCTCTCATGCTCTCAGATTCACAAGGCATACCTCTGCATGCCCCTTCCTCCCATGCTCATGTGACAGACATGACTGACAGGATTGCAGAAGGATTTGTTAACTTTTAAAAATGTGTTAGTTCCATTCAAAAACCCTCTCAGGGTTGTATTGAACCCTCTCGGTACCAATAGAGGGAGTGTATGGGAAAGGGGCCACTCTGTCTCTGTATGGCCAGCTTTTCTCTTAAAAAAAAAAAAAAGACTTGTTTTGTTATGCAAACTGTGCCTCCCTATCTGCTGCTAAATTCTTAAGAGCAGCTGCTCTAAAGACTGCAGAGTCCTCGGGAGTGTAACCCACTGAGCAGGGGTGTGTTGGAAGGCCCCTATGACTAACTAAAAGTAAGATCCACTCTGCTCTGTGGTTTCCCTTTTTCTAACAACATCTGTGCCCTCCTCAGACCTCAGCAACTGTTTGCAGGTGCCCTGCGTTTCCTGGTTTTCCTGGTTTAACAGCAGCCGATCAGAAATGACTGCAGGCTTGCCCTCGAGTTGGCGATCACAAACCCTCAGAGGATTCATTTTCTATCGGTGTTCTGTGTCTGACAGGAAAGAGCCCCATACACAGACTGGTGACTGTCACCCGAGAGTAGGAGAAAGGACCATGCAGATGGTGAAGAGGGACCCAGGACTCTCCGTTGACCTTGATTCTGCCTCCCGGAGCAGGCAGGAAGCTGATGTGTGGCGGCCAAGGACCACATTGGTAAGCACAGGCTGGCCAGGCTGCTTGCTCCCCTCAGGCCATCGTGTTGTCTTGGCTTTTACTCTGATTGAAACAACTACCTGGGAGTAGGACAAGGGAGAGGTCTGGCCTACGCTCTAGTAGATCCCCTGAGTGCGAGCTGAGGGCAGAATCCAGGAGAGGACACACAGTTATAGTGCTAATGTAGCATCCAGCCATGAGGGGTGGGAAATAATCAGATTCTGAATGTAATTCTGAAGGTTGAACCAACTAGAATTGTGAGTGAACTTATAAGAAAAAAGACTTGTGGATAACACTGAAGCATTTGACCTGAGCATGTACCAGAGAACAGGGATTTACTGAGGTTCAGGTCTCAGAACTGAAGCTTCCAAATCTCAGGTGTCAGGGAAGTCTCCAAAAGGAGATATTGATTTTAAACCCTAAGACCCCCAAGACTCCCTACTGGACTTCTGGCCTAGATAATCATAAGAAAAGTACTATGGTCTGTATGTGGCCTGCCTCCCCAGGCACATGTTAGAAATGTAATTCCCAGTACAACAGTGTCAGGAAATGTGACCTTTGGGGAGATGTTCAGTTATGAAGCTTGACCCTCTTGAATGGATTCATGGCAATACAAGCCCATGAGAATGGAAGGTTCTCTCACCTTTCACCATATGAAGAGAGTCAGAGACCCTCATGGAACCTTGGCACCTTCATCTTCATATTCTCAGACCTTAGAACTGTGAGGGAATAGATTTTTGTTCTCTGTAGATTGCCCTGCCTTGGCTATTTAGCACAAAGTAAATCAGTGTAATAAAAAAAATGTATGTTGTGGGGCTGGAGAGATGGCTCAGCAGTTAAGAGCACTGGCTGCTCTGCCAGAGGCCCCAGGTTCAATTCCCAGCACCCACATGACAGCTCACAACTGTCTGTAACATCCAGTTCCCCTGGATCTCACACAGACACACAAGCAGGCAGAACATCAATGTACATAAAATAAAAATAAAACAAACAAAAGATAGAATAATACAAAGTGTATATTTTTAAAAATATGTTACTTTGAGTCCCTGTGTTGTAGAATATTATTTTAAGATATGTTACATTTTTTTGTGCTATGGAACATTTGTTTAATGATGCAAAGATGTGCTGCATTCTTTTATGTTGCATTTGTTTAACTCCATGAAGCTGTGTTACTTTGCCTGTCTAAAACACCTGATTGGTCTAATAAAGAGCTGGCCAATAGCAAGGCAGGAGAAAGGATAGGTGGGGCTGGCAGGCAGAGAGAATAAATAGAAGGAGAAATCTGGGAGGGAGAGAAGAAAGAGCCAGAGAACAAGGAGAGGGGGATGCTAGGGGCCAGCCACTCAGCCACACAGCCAGCCATGGAGTAAGAATGAAAGTAAGATTACACAGAAGTAAGAAAAAGAAAAAGCCCAGAGGCAAAAGGCAGATGGGATAATTTTAAGTTAAGAAAAGCTGGCAAGAAACAAGCCAAGCTAAGGCTGGACATTTATAAGTAAGAATAAGCCTCCATGTGTGATCTATTTGGAAGCTGGGTGGCTGGCCCCCCAAAGAACAAAGAGCCAAAATAGCCAAAACAACACTACCCCTGCGATCTTTATATTGCTATAGCAGTGATAGAAAACTAAGGAATCTACTGTCTTCCATAGCAGGTCACTGGGAAAATGTTGTGAGCTTCCCCTCCTCAGCCTCAGCTCTTACTCTCTGATGCATTCTGTCTCTCTCTACTGGTCTCTGAACTGGAGAACGTTCTCCCACGGACCTGTACCACGCGGCTGGCTGCCAGCCCTCTGTCTGAACAGAATGTCTTCTTGCAGGCTATCCTATCATGTGTTCAAACTAAAGTTCGGATTGCTCTGAATCTGGAGCCAGAGGCCATTTCCATGTCCCTAGACACCCACTCTCCTCGCCCCAATCAAGTGAGAGCCTGGAGCATTATGAGGGGCCCCAGAGAAGGCTCCTCAGCACCTCTCTGGAAGGACTTTTTGAAGTGTGGGACAAACATAATTTTAGACCTATCAACCAGCAGACAGCTTGCCAGACTATTCATGACACTGGGATGGGTCTTTTGAGAGAAAGAAAAATAAGCTCTACCCTCCCCCTAGCAGGATCTGGGCCAGTTGTAACATAAAATGGACCTCTAATAGTTAAATGGCAAGTCATGGCAATCATCAATGTCCTCAGTGTGCACTAACTTGTCTGGTAAGGGACGTGTGCTCTAACATCTCAGGATACTAGGGAGAGACTGCTGAGGGATATGATGGGAAGTGTCTTGCACTAGGCGTCTGCAGCTTCCAGGAAGACACTCAACTCCCAACCCTCTCAATCCGAACACAAAATGCAATTCCAGAACCACATCCAAGTAGGGGACTGGGGCATGCTGACACTTCCCCAGAGCTGTCATCAAATATTTAAAACTGGTTTCAACCTGTCTTTGCAGACAGACACTGTCTTCATAAACAGAAAAAAAACACCTCTCGGCCAAATTCTTCATCAGAACTCAGCTCTTTTTTTTTTTTTTTTTTTTTTTTTTGATTTGATTTTTCGAGACAGGGTTTCTCTGTGTAGCTTTGCGCCTTTCCTGGAACTCACTTGGTAGCCCAGGCTGGCCTCGAACTCACAGAGATCCACCTGGCTCTGCCTCCCAAGTGCTGGGATTAAAGGCGTGCGCCACCACCGCCCGGCTAAATATTTATTTATTTATTATGTATACAGGAGAGAGCGTGAGATCTCATCACAAATGGTTGTGAGCCACCATGTGGGTGCTGGGAATTGAACTCAGGACCTCTGGAAGAGCAGCCGGTGCTCTAACCTCTGAGCCATCTCTCCTAGAACTCAGCTCTTTTTAACCAAAGAAACTCTTCCAAGGAAATTTATAGAAAATTGCACTGATAAAACAATTCACAAACCATTACTTTGTAGCCATGAGCCACACAAAGTGCTAGGCCCCAAAGAGGGGAAGTCCAACAGTACAGCTTAGTCTTCACAAAGAAGTGAAGGGGTGTTCTTAGCTCCTTTTGTAGCTGTTTACTCAACAAGAGTAAATTGTGGGCAGAACTGTGAGAATGATTTTTAATTCATAAAAGAATATTTATTCATTTAGGCTTTTGGAGACCTGATGGATTTTTTTAAAAAATGTTCTAAGGATGTCTCCCACCTGAAGGTCAGCACATCTTGTAAATTAATGTCCTATAAACCTAGCCAGAGCATCTCTACGAAGAGGAGAAAATGCAGGACAGTTCCTAGCGTTCCCTTTGTCTCAGAGCAAAGCTGGGTTAGTCACGCTGTGACTGTCTCTTGTCTTTGATCCCCTTGCCTCAGGAGAAAGGAACTTCCGGAAAAGGACTTCCAGAATTGAATCTTGGCTAGGAAGCTCTGCTAAGCAGAGAGAGCAGCTGTGGCGGGCAAAGCACGGTCATAAACTAAGTTGACCAACGTCTGGCAGTCATACTAGAAGTGTGGAGACGGACAGGTGGAGATGAAGCTGACAGAGGTCCAGAGTCCCACAAACCCCATCCTCTCGCACACCTCCATTATCACCTCACCGCCCCACGGTGATGAATGCGTGTGTTTCTCTGTCACCTCTAGTAGAGACATGGTGTCCATGTAAGGAACACAAATGACAGAGAGGTGGAGGAAGGAGAGAACAGACCCGTGAAAGAGCCCAAGGGCAAACTGAAGGACTTTCATTTACTGTGGAGACCAGGAGGGACATGTCAATGAACAGTGACACAATGGACCCCGGGTGGCCCGAAGAATGACAGTTTCATACACAACATTGAAGAAATCCTTTTGCTAGTTGAAAGTGAGTCTGTGTTTACTCCTACTCAGGTGTAAGTAGTCACTTACATCTTCAAGATCTTTCTTAGTTTTTCTTCTTCCATATGTGGATGGAGCCAAGGACTCAGGCAAACTGTGTTCCATCCCTGAGCTGTGTCCCTAGCCCTTGGTTTATTATGGCTATTATTTTTTTTTATTTACATGTGTATGTCTGTGTGTGGACTTGTGCA